CAGTTTTTTCTCTACGTGTGTGTGAAAGTCTAGGAGGAGGGGGAGGAGGAGGAAGAAGGTGGAGGAGGAGAAGGAGGAGAGAAGGTGGAGGAAGTGGAGAAGGAGAAGAAGGTGGAGGAGGGAGGAGGAGGTGGATGAGGAGGAGGAGGAGGAGGAGAAGGTGGAGGAGGAGAAGGAAGAAGAAGGAGAAGGAGAAATGGAGAAATGGAGAAATGGAAGTTCAGTCAACGTGTTAAGTTTGTTTCTCGAGACTGAATCGCGACCGAAACTTTGGAATTCTTCCGAATGGGACGCGTTTTGTTTCTCGAGGAGGAGGAGATGAACCAACAAAGGAAGAGAAAGCAAGAAAACCTAAGAATAAGCCTATATTCGTGAGTTTTTTTTTTTTTTTTTTTTTTTTTTTTTTTTTTTTTTTTTTTTTTTTGTCTTCCCACGCTGCGTTATTTAGTGCGCGGTTCTAGAGGCCCTTGCAGCCGCGGGCCGTTGTACGCCGACCGTGCGTCCGAAGCGGCAGGCACAAAGCGGATCAGGGGCGCGAAGAGTGCGTGCAGCTGTGCTTGTGCTTGTGCTTGCTCTTGGGGCTCTTGATGGCGCGGTGTCTGACTGCAGGTAAGACTCGCTTATTGATTGCGGGCGTCTCCTGCTGCCGCTGCTGCTTGTGTTGATTCACCTGCTGTTCGTGGCGCCTGGGATCGAGCCAGTAGTGTCTGCCAGCCAGCCCGCGTGTCTGCATGTCTTGTTGCCTAGCTTGTAGTCCTGTGCCGTGTCGCCTGGTGGTCGTCGTGGTCTCTCATGGCTAGTATTCACCTTTTTTTTATTCTGAAGCGCCAGGAGTGGAGTAGTTGTAGTAGTAGTAGTAATTTTGAAATAGTTTTGTAGTAGTTTTGAAAGAGGCTTTGCTTGGCTTTGAACTGTCTGAAGGCGGAGGCAAGACTTGGGTGTTTTTTGAGCTTCGGTTCCTCCTTCGTGCCTCTCACGTTTTCTTCCTCTTTCGCGCCTGTCGAAGCGGGGCCCGCCTTGTAGATTCCGTCTTGGGCCGAAAGGTGTCCGGGTAGGAAGTAGACGCGTTCTCGGCCGGGAGGAAACGAGGCGAGCCGCCGGTAAGGTCAGGAGGCGGCCAGTTGTTTGTGTAGAAGATAGATTGAAGCAAGGAAAAAAAAACGCGGTCGGCAGCAGGAACAAGACGGGCGCGAGGAAAGGGAAACCGCCTTGAGAGAGTCGTCTCCAGCCTCTTAATCGCCCGGGTGATTTGTGGAAGGTGCGAGACGCCTGACGCAGCCATGACCAGTGCGACCTGGTGACGATGACGCCCGCCAAGGTTGCCGACTCTCTCCCACTCCCCTCCCTGCCGTGCCTTTTTCTCGGGGGAGGAGGGAGGGTGGCAGCGGCACCTGTCGCAACAGCGCGCACCTATTCACCTTCGCCCGCCTGCTCAGCCGCCGTCGCCATTGCGTGGAATGGGCGGCGATTCCCGCGACGGACACGGAACTGCCGGCGATTCGTCCGGAGGCGCTCGTTGGCCGTCCGCCGTCTGGAGCGTGATTCAGTTCCGCGACGGACACGGAAACTGCCGAAGTCGCGAGCCGTGGCGGTGTAAACGCGCGCCGCAGTCAAGATTAAAGAAAAGATTTAGTTTTAATTCCATTTGTTACAATGGATATTCTTTGCTGTGACATACTGTCTGTTTTATTTAGTCGTCGGGATCGCGATTAACACGGCGCGAATGCACAATGAGGCTGGCGCGGCGGGGAATCAGATCTACTCCATCTTGGGTTCTTGATATGGGTTCTCGATGAGAGCTTCGACGCCCGCGCTCTGGCCGCCTCCCCTCTCGCCTAGGAGACCCACGCGCCGGGTCGCCTCCGCTTTCGTCGGCATCTACATATCATCTACAATGGGGCGCCCAACCCCTCTCGCCACCCGCCAGCACCCACCAACCGTTTGATTTTATCAGAAGACCGCTCGTGGGGGTCACTCTCCACCTTCATCCACAACGCACCGAACTACAGCACCATCTGTGAGCGGATGGCTACACGCGATGCCAACTGCGTTATATACATTCACCACCTGCAGGCCCGCGGAGGAACCCGTCCGGGGCATCCACTTCGCCCGGTGCTTCCTGCCCCACCGGACGCCGCTCGACCCCCCTCCCCCCCCTTCCCCCCTCAGCCTCATGGCCCCCTCCGCTTACTCAGAGCCGCGTTTCCTCCTGGCCCGCCGTGCCATGAATGGTGTCATGAATAAATGCATAAAGGGTCGAGCCGCAACTGGAAGAGCAGCTCCGGCGATGACGTAAGACGGAGGGGGACGGGACGGACGGAGGGGGCGGGGAACTTTTGTATTTATTTAACTTACGTGACTAGTCTTGGGCGTCGAAAGGTCTTCGCCTTGCACAGGCTCTTGTCTTATTTGCGTCGGGTAAATCTTGACAGTTTTACGCGTCGTTGTCGGTGGCGAGACATAGCGCATGACACGCCCCGAAGCGGACCCTCGGCGAGCCGGAATCGAGACCATGGCGTGACGGGGACCAGGGCAGGGGCCGCGCTGGAGGGGCGGCGATGGGTTGATGCTGATCCGCGGGATAGCTGGGTATGGAGTGGGTACATGCACGCTGTGGACCCCACCCCCCCCCCCCACCCCCTCTCCCAAGGTGGAATTATGTTCTGACGCATTTTTATCCACAGCGATTCGTGCGGTGTTCAGTGCGACAGTGAGTGCGATTGCCCTCAGTGCGGCAGGATCCGAGTGGATTCCTTGCCTTCTGCTGACCTGCCGCGCCTGCTCATTCTCCCTTTCACCCGCCTCTTTCACCCTTCCTGCGGCCCATTCCGTTTCAGCATTTCCTGCAAGGCCTCCTCCTCCTCCTCTCGCGGTTGTGGCGCAATGGCTGCTGCTGCGGCGCGCGCCCCTTGGGTCCTTCTCTTCCCGTCGCCCCTACGAGCGCAAGCGCATCCCACCGCCCCCCCCCCCCCCTGGGACCTGCACGCGCTCTCCTTTGGCATTGTCCGGCCTGCCATATCCCCATCGATTTGCCATTTGTATCCGTCGAACTTGTGAGTCATCTCGGCTTCTCGCCCTCCGCCGCCGCCGCCGCCTTGCCATGCCTTGCCTTGTTGCTGACTTCAACCGCATATGATTGCCGCTCCACCTGCCGTGCCCGCGATTGCCACCCCCCCCCACTCCACCCCCGCCCTCCGCCCCGCCCCGCCCCCTGCCCTTTTCGTCGGCTCATGGGTCGGGCGGTCGAAGCGAGGTTCCCGAATGTTATCGTTTATCACGTCTCTCCATGTTGGGGCTCTGGTATTTCTCATTTTCGCCTGGCTCCATCTGCGACGGCCCTCCCCTGCTTGTAGCCCGTCTGCTCGTATCCTCTTTAGCATGTAAGATAGATATTTAGGATCTCAGCCTTACCATTTCTTCCTAATATACCCTTTATTTAATGGACAAACCAGAAAAGAAAGGTATAAAGAGCGGCCCCTTTATCGAGAGGGGTAGCTCTTATATAAATGAGTCGTGATAACCGCGGCACGATATCGCAGCGAGCCAGCGCGGGGTCAGGCGGGGTCAAACGTGAGCCAAGGGTAAGAAATATGAAGGAAAAAAGGGAGAGGGAGAAGTTATGAGAGGCCGTCCAGTGGAGGAAACGAAAGAGAGGGAGAGGGAGAAATGTATAGAAAAAAAGGGAGAGGCAGAAGTTATGAGAGGCCAACCAGTGGAGAAAACGAGAGAGAGAGAGGGACGGGGAGGGAGGAAGGACAAAGAGAAAAAAGAGAGAGAGACAGAACGTATTGAGAAAGTTCGAGAGGAGAGAGATCATGGTCGCTCAGTTTCCGCTACTGCTTTTTTTTTTTATCCGGCGTCTTGCGAGGGCGGCGCACGATCCCAACTCGCCAGCGATGCCAGTGATAAAAGCTCGTTCCGTTGCCTGCTTTTGAGGCAACGGAATTCGCGGGATTACGTCACGGGCGGCGGAAAGTGATCTCACCGGGGAGAGGCCGAGGCGGAGCGGGGATAGAGCGGGTGTGCCATTATTAACAGATAAGGCTATTTTTATTTTAACTCGTTTTCCCCGGTTTTTTTTTTATTTTTTTTTATGTTCTTTCCGCCTTTTCTTTGATTTGGCGTTTTGTGTGTGATATTTTGATGGTTTGATTATGTGTAATGTGTGTCTTTTTCTTTCTTTTTCTTGTTTTAGGTTCCAGAAAAAGTTGTTTTTATCTTATAGATGATTTAGTTTTTATTTTGAATGGGTTTATGCCTATTTAAAATCCAAGTTTAATATGATCTTGCATTATTTTCTAGTTTTTCTCCACCATTTTCAAATCGAAAATATTTAAAATGCGGTTTTATTTCTTTATTTTTCATTGTTCTCAGAGCTTATGAGTTTACGAGTTTACTAATGCATCGTTTCCATTGCAGGAACGGTTGGAGCGTCTACACAATGAATTCAACGGCCAAGTGTCATCCCTACAAGGGAACTAACAGAAATTAAGAACATCAAAGAAGACCTCTCACGCTACATCCGGGAGCTTGAGCAAGCAAACGATGACTTGGAAAGAGCTAAAAGGTAATGATGATGGTGATAGGTATCTCCTGCGTTTTCTTTTCGTTTCGTTTTCTTTTCTTTTTTCGTTTCTGTCCTCAATACCGTCTTTTGCCTTTTGTTTCCTTTTTTTTTTTGTCCTTTTGTGTCTTTTTTCCTTCTCTTTTTGATTATTTTAAGATAGCCAGTCACAGAAGGGAAATACCAGTCACTTAGTTAGGAAGGAAGGGTCCTGGTAAGATGACTTGGCTTGTTTGAAAGCTATTGTGAATAAGGTTACAGATGGTACAATAATTAGTTTCTGTTCGTTCTTTATAAAGAATATATTTGCTTATTGATGTCATACATACAGTAAGAAAAAAATAGTATATTGGTCGAATTACTTCTTTGGGAGAAATAAATTGACGTTTTTCATATTTTCTGAAAATGTAAAGTAGAAAGCAACAAGAAGCAGAGTTTAGGTCTGCTTGTGAATGTCAAATCAGCTGACAAGAACTGATGTATCTGCCTCATTAGAAAGTGAATATCTCTTTTGTTAGATCCTGGCCTATTTTTAATTGTTTATTTTCAGTTTTTATCACAGCTCATGGATTGTTTTATTGACATTTTCGTATGCAAAGAGTAAAAGTAATCCGCTGAAAGTTCATGTGTGATTATTTGCTTTATTTTGATTTCAATAGATGTGTATGTTGAATGTTAAATATGTCGAATTTCTTTTTTTCTTTCTTTCTTTCTTTTTTTCTTTGTTAATTTTGGATTTTACAAATAAAACTCAATGTTTGAATCTGTGTTCTTTACAGAAATATAAATTCACCTGCTGAATGTAGGTGAAGACTCTCAGGAACTGTAAATGCTTTGTTTCATGCAAGAAATATTCTCATTTGCTGTTATCTCTCGATTCTGCATTTTCATTTCCTTTCGCTTTTTTGTATTTCTGTTTCTTTTCATCCTTCTCAATATTATTTTTTGTTTCTTCTTTGCTTGGGTATTCCTTCTTTCTTTTCCTTTTTTTCTGAATGTTCATACTTCTATATGTATTTCATATTTATTCTCTTCTTCCTTCTCTTGCCTCTTTTCCTCCTCCTCCTCCTTCTCTTGTCTCTTTTCCTCCTCCTCCTCCTCTTGTCTCTTTTTCTCCTCCTCCTCCTCCTTCTCTTGTCTCTTTTCCTCCTCCTCCTCCTCCTTCTCTTGTCTCTTTTTCCTCCTCCTCCTCCTCCTCTTGTCTCTTTGCCTCCTCCTCCTTCTCTCGCCTCTTTTCCTCCTCCTCCTCCTCTTGTCTCTTTGCCTCCTCCTCCTTCTTCACTCTTTTCCTCCTCCTCCTCCTCTTGTCTCTTTGCCTCCTCCTCCTTCTCTTGTCTCTTTTCCTCCTCCTCCTCCTCTTGTCTCTTTGCCTCCTCCTCCTCCTCTTGTCTCTTTGCCTCCTCCTCCTCCTCTTGTCTCTTTGCCTCCTCCTCCTCTCTTGCCTCTTTTCCTCCTCCTCCTCTTGTCTCTTTCCTCCCCTCCTCTCTTGTCTCTTTGCTCCTCCTCCTTCTCTTGCCTTTTTTCCTCCTCCTCCTCCTCTCTCGTCCTTTGCCTCCTCCTCCTTCTCTCGCCTCTTTTCCTCCTCCTCCTTCTCTCGCCTCTTTTCCTCCTCCTCCTCTTGTCTCTTTGCCTCCTCCTCCTTCTCTTGCCTCTTTTCCTCCTCCTCCTCTTGTCTCTTTCCGCCTCCTCCTTCTCTCGCCTCTTTTCCTCCTCCTTCTCTTTCCTCTTTTCCTCCTCCTCCTCTTGTCTCTTTGCTTCCTCCTTCTCTTGCCTCTTTTCCTCCTGCTCCTCCTATTTCTTTTGCCCATTTTCCTCCTCTTCATCTACATCTTATTTAATTTCTTCCCTGCTGCTTCTCTCTCTCTTCTTCATCCAGTCTGCTCCTCTGCCTTCTTAATTTTTCTGTCACCCTTTCCTCCTTGTTAGAAATTTTTACTTATTTACTGTAAAACAACTTTTGTCGGCTGTAGGGAAGCTTATTTTGAAGACAAGAAAGGAATTTTATGTATACATTTCGTGTATGAATTGTGTAGCGTTGCCATTAGAAATTATATTAACCATTAGGCTTCTACAATATTCCAGATAGATTTCTAATCTTTTTGAAGTTAGAGATGATCTTTTATTTTTTCAAATCATTTATTTCAAAGCAAGTGGGAGAAATCCTAAATTTGTTGTCATTTTCCAGGGCGACAGTGACATCCTTAGAGGACTTCGAGGCTAGGCTTAATTTAGCGATTGAGCGAAATGCCTTCCTGGAGTCTGAGCTTGATGAAAAGGAGGCGTTGAAGGTTATGGTGCAGAGACTGAAGGACGAAGCCAGAGGTGAGAAATACTTGGGATGAATCTGGTGCATGTGCGATATACTCTTAGATTGCACTTTGCAGAGTTCCATTGTTGAATGGATATTTTCTTTTTTCTTTTTTTTTTCTGTAAAGTAAAAGGATGTGGATGACAAAAAAAAAGAGATAATGAACATTATTAGCAGAGGAATAAATGTAGATTATAAAGGATGTTGATAAAGGCATTATAAGGCCAAGAATTCACTACATGATGTAATATAATGTCTCTCACAGTACTATACATCAGAATTGGGATATGCTTAGAATTTAGGAGTCTTTATCCGTGTAGTTGTTGCTGTTCCTTATGAGAAAGTATTCATAGTCTTAATACAAACTAAAATTATGTGTACTCTAAACCCTTACATAGAAAGATAAAGCTGTCGTTTTCCGACAGATCTTCGGCAGGAGCTGAGTGTAAAAAACAAGGACGACGACGAGCCAGATAATGACAGGGCTCTCCAACACCAGCAGAATCACCTGCACCTTCAACCTCCTCCCAAGTTACAGCCTCCTCCTCAGACAGTCTCCGATGAAAATGTTGATTCCAATAAACTTGTTTCCAGCACACAGCTCACAGCTCACAGATTCTGTTCCAAGCACACCTGTAAAAAGTAAGCAGGCAGATACCATTGATATGGCTTTGATGATTTATTCCACAGTTTGTTTTGATTATTTGAGAAGCTGATCAAATGCTGTTAAGTATTTGAGCTGACTTTTAAAGTTGTGCAGATAGGCTAATAAATGCATGTTAGGTTGTTGAAGTTCCAATTTTTAAAAGAAGCCAATTTACTTGACAAGACAGATTTACCATTTGTGCTTTACTTTTTTTCCCTTTTTTCTTTTTTTTTTTGTATAGCAGATTTTTTTGGAAAGTGGTATTTATCTAATGAGCAAAAAAATATATAACACTGTTTTAAGAAAAAGTAAGCACTGGTAATACATGTAATAAAATATGATTTGAATAGATGTAGAATAAGAGAATAAGAGGTAGTCTGTTATTCAGAAATCATCAGTTTAATTCAGAGACTGACTATATTCCTTATTTCTTATAGGGAGATTACAAAATTCAGTCAAGAAAGTAAAAGAGTTAGCTACTTCATCATTGTTTATAAAAAGAGTAAGGCAATCATTACTGATATTCCTGCAGCCAGTATATTTCCTTTTAAAGCAGTTCTTTATTTATGCATGCAGTGTTTGTCCTTAAAATCAGTGATAAACATGCATCATTGTATACACTAGTGGTAGGCTTCAGTAATGATATAAATTGATGTATTAAAAACTCAGAATATTGGATGGATATATAACTATGATAGTTTTTTTTTTATGTTGTAATCAGAAGATAGATATTTTGATACAGTTTTGTTGTTTGATAGAAATATAGGTGTATTAGTATTTCTAAAAGTGTAGCGTGTAATGTATAATAATCTTGATAGATTTTTAAGTAGAAATTTTCAATTACATGAGTGCATTTTAGGTAATATTAATTTTTTTCAGTGCTGTATTTTGTTGATGTGATTATCAAACAAGGGTGTTGAATCACTAGATAAATTTTGTAAAGAATGTGCACATATATTTGGAAGCAGGCAGTGAACAGAATGCCTTGTTTCGATGTTTATTTACATGTCTCATTGTTTTACTTACAGCACACCCTTTGCACAACATAAACAATGGAAGTGTACCAATGACGCCATCAGCAAGGATATCAGCTCTCAATATTGTGGGAGACCTTTTAAGAAAAGTGGGGGTAAGTTTTTCTAATTTCGCCTTAAGTAAGATCTTTTTAGAGAATAGAATATAAATAATCTCATTAATGGTCTCTTTTTTTTATATATTTTTATATTTATATATTCATTTATTTATTTCAAAGGCCTTCTGCATGATATTTAACAACTGAATTAGGTTCAAGTGATGAGTTTACAGACAAGTAAATCCGGAGTGCATATTTCACAAAGGGAAATTGTGACTGAAGTAGAGGTGTTGATCGCAGCTGGTGTGCTGCCTCGTACAGTACATGGCCAGTGCTGTAACTTGATATCCTTTCTGCCAGGGTAGCCATAACCCAATGGCGGAGGGGGTCTGGGGACACACTGCGGCAGAATCAAGATTGTCTTGTAAGAAAATCACAGCTGATAGTCAATATTAAGCTTTAGCATGACACTTCACAAGCCACAGATTCGGAATGCTTGTATCATTTTTTTCCCCTTAAATTTTGGATTTCGTACTTTGCATCTTAAAAGAAAAAAAAAAAATGAGCTGAACACACATTAGCTGGAGAAGAAAAAAATATATATATTTATATTTATATTTATCAATAGCAGTTTAGAAAGTTTATGGAAAAACTCAGGCAGTCTTCTAAATTCACACCACTCTCCTTTACGACTAAATCCTCACCTCTGCCAGAGTGAGTTTCCAGATCCAGTGTATTTGAAGCTTTCTTGTACACCTAGCCGCTTCATTTGTAATTTTTTTCTTTGTTAATGGTTAGAACTGGGATTGTTTGTTTTCCTTTTCTGTTTTCTCTTGTTATGTTTTTTGAAGCGAACCAGACGCTATGTTAGATGTTTGTTTGGTTATTTTCGTCAAGCAGAGGAAAATTCATTGCCAGATGTACAAAACGGTTAGCCTAGTTTTATGATTTTGATGATTAAGATTGTGAGAGTTGAAAAAAGAGAACTACATTTTTGTTAAAGTATTTGCTGATTTTGCTGTTACCATAAAGTTGTAATGGAAATCGCTAAAAAAAAAAATCACAAAGAAAAATATAGATAATTTTGAGGTCGATGCCAAGATTTAGAATTCTGACTACTGTAACACCCGTAGTGGATCAGCAGACATTAGGAGGTTTTGTTTTTATTTGTCCTTAGCCCACTGATGCTGGGATGGCAAAAATGTACGTCCACTATGATTTTACATGTAGATGGCTCCACAAGTGCTTTGTTCCCACATAGTTAATTCATAGGCCGACCTCTCTCACCTGTTTAACCTTTTCCTTGATTAAGAAAAAGAAAATATATATGTATATTTTGCTATTAGAATTGTTTATTGCACTATAATATTCATAATGTTAGTAACAATAAGAATATCAATATTTATTGCATTAGTAAAAGTTATATTTCCTAAAAACTTGTGAAAGGGAGAAAGTCAGGAGAGGCCATGTTAGTCATACTTCGAGAAGGTAGCCAAGCGCTTGTGCCACCATTTGGGTGTGTTGGGGCGTGGGGGGGTTGAGAGTACATGTACCTAGCAGCAATGGGTTAAAAGATGCTACGCACTCATACCAACAAATAAAAACGAAAACAGACAAGCAGACACACTAACAGGTAAACATTTACATGTTTTCAAATGTGTAAACATGTTTGTTTACACATTTAAACACAAATACACACCCATTTGTTTATTCATTCATTTGATTATTATTTATTTATATGCATACATATCATGTTTTTATTTTCATTATAGGAAGGGATCTGTTGTTTAAAATTATCTCTTTCTTTCAGTTTCTAATGACAATATTGGGGTATCCTTCTGACCTAGATGAATTTTCAGAAGATCCTGTAAAACTAAGGGTACACAGCTAACCTTTGCTGGTAACAGACCAAGACCCGAATATGTCCAAGCTTGCATAAGTCCTGTATACATAGTGCAATTAGAATTGAATGGCCTTTATAACTGTGACTAAGGATTTCTCCCTAAATGTCCATTGATTTTTTTCCTTCTTTTTACATGTTACTAAAAAGTGGCATAAAGTATGTATTTTAGCATTAACCTAAAAAGAGACAGGCAGTACATGGCTAGTTTTAAAGCCATCATTTAGCCAAATCTCGTTTCTTAACAAGTGTGTGAATAGAACTGAAATAGGACCTTGTGTGTGATACCAGCTATGTGAAGGAGTCATGGCATTCAGTTTATGTTTAGTGAAGGATTGCGTTTCAGTTTAAGCTTTCATGAATTCATAAATTGTTAGGAAGAAATTTTTGTGTGCGAGAAGTCATATTGCTGCAGGATGTTTTATTTGCCATACATTTCATCTTTAGATTGTTTTGTTATTAAAAAAGTGGAGGGACATTGATTTGTTAGATATCATATATTATTTGTTATCACTGTCTTTTTTTTGGGGGGGGGGGAGTATATGCTTTTGGGCTGGGAAATTTGGGCATGTATAACAAAGCAAATGGATATATATATATATATATGTGTGTGTGTGTGTGAGAGAGTGAGTGTGTGTGTGTGTGTGTGCGTGGCACGTGTGATGGCAGTGTGTGCATTGCGCGTGTGTGTGTGCGTGTGTGTGTGTGTGTGTTGTGTGTGTGTGTGTGTGTGTGTGTGTGTGTGTGTGTGTGTGTGTGTGTGTGTGTGTTTGAGAGAGTGACAGTGTGTGTGTGTGTGTGTGTGTGTGTGTGTACGTGCGTGTGTGCATGGGTGCGTGAGAGAGTGACAGTGTCTGTTTGTGTTTTATATATATATATTATATATATATATATATATATATATATTATATATATATATATATATATAATATATGTATACACACATTCATATTTTTTTAGTCATTGAGAAATATACAAGGGTATTTTCCCAAAAGTTCTATGAATGTTGTTGCTTTTTCTATTATTATTAATTATTATTATACTGACAGAAAGATGCTAATGAGAGATGAAATGTTTGCCATCATGTAGGGATTTATTCCGTGAAATGGCCTGTTTTTTTCATTATTATGGTATAAAGGTGTGAATTTTTGTTTGCTGAAATGTGGTTGTTTTTAATTTATGTGTCTTGACATCCTTGATGGTTTCGTCCCAATGTTACGTTGATTTAACACTGCATTCAATAAGGGATAAAGGCCTAAGCTGAATTTGAGAAGTGTCGTTTGTGTTTGATGCAAGTGTATTTCTACTTATAACTCTTCTGTTGTTGAAGTCCAGGTTTTTTGAGGGGGGGGGGGGCAGTGTGGATTAGGGCATGTTGGAGTGACTGACAATTGTGAATTCCCGAGTAAGTGAGAGTGAGTGTGAGTGTGAGTATGAATGTGTGTTTGCATGTATATTTGTAACCCTGGTTGATTGAGGAAGGGGGGAATATGTGACCACTTTTATTTTTGATTTTTGTGAAAATGGGAAAGATGATATCATCTTTGCTTTGGTCAGTAGAAAATAGATAATATATCAATAAAGGCAGTTTTATTGTGTTTGTGTTTGGCAGTAGAGCATCTCATAAGTTGAATAATATGATACTGCATAGACGTAAATGACCTGACTACAAAAAGAAGTTCAGTTGCAGAAGTATTCTCTAATTCTCAGTGTAAAATAGCTTCTTCCATTCAAACATCCTGTATCCTTTATGACTTGATGGATTTGAAGACTAACCAGTGCATTTGGCAGTGAACTTTATTAACCTCTAACTTCAACACTTTTTTCTCATATGATTCAGATCAAGATGATTGTCCAAATTTTAGTAATAGTAGAGGGAAATTTACCAGAAAATTTTTTCACCATCAGTTTTGTAACTATTGTATGTTGCCGTATTTTGTAATCAAAAATTATTTTGGCTAAACAAAACTTAATTCCTTGTCATGACTCAGAACTATGAATTACCACTCTTTTCTTGATTGGTTATAAACTGTAAATATAGAATAACTACCATGGGTAACATTAACAAGGCTGGTAATGGTATCTCAGGCACTGGAGTCGCGTCTAGCCTCGTGTCGTACACTCGTGAAGGACAACCAGCGCCCCCTCAGCCTGCTCCACCCGGCAACCACTCTGCCAGGTAACACCTAACGCCCAAACCATATACTGGCAGCAACTGTCAGCAAGCACAGAATGGGGCACTTGTTTCTTGCATGAAAAAGTATCCAAGCATCGTTACATTTAGTCAGTCTGCTGAGCACATCAGTCAAAGGGTTGTTGGTCACGGGTTCTTAAGAGACGTATGACGTCACAGCAGGATGACTAGGACCCCCAGATCTGAGGAATTATGATGTCATAACCTTTGACTGATTGATGAGGCAGCATTGGTAAAGTTTAGTCTCTCACTATAAAAAGGCACCATCTACTAACTTTTAAAGATGATAAGTAAATGATATGCATTAGAAATAAAATGCATATTAAACATAATACTGCCAAACAGATTAGCACAGTTCTTGATTGTCTTTCCCCTAGGAGGCGAAAGTCCACACAGTTTACTGTAAGTTTACCATAATTGCTGGAGATGAAGAGTATCCATTCTTTGTGGGCACTTGGATGATTGCATGGGCCTAACATCTTACCTGCTGGTTGTGGACTGTTTCCCCTTCATCATATGACTATTCTTAGAGAGATAGGAAATTCAGTGAATAGATTCTGTTAATGCAACCAAATTTTCCTGTCAATATTTTGCTTAAGCTAGTGAAGACTGCCTACAGCTTGACTGAAAAGATGAACCTTGCATGACAAAAGACTTCCTGTTTGTGTCAGATTATACGTGTATTTCTTTCCCCTTTTTTGTTTTGTCTTTGTTTTTGTTCTGGTTTATTTTTGCATTTCAGATTTTTAGGCTTCTTATATGTATTGGCTTTTTACACTTAGTTGCACAGTGTGGTTGCATTTCTACCTTTGCCTTCACTTTTTGTTTTTGCTTCCATGTGTCTAATCATGTATTTGTGCTTAAAGACATAAGGTATTATTATTTAATGATTATGTATACTTGACCATGCAAGAATTTTTATAGTATGCCCAAAGCAGTTAGTCATTAAACATGTAATAGGTGTTTGTATCCTAGAGTTGTACCCTATATATCCCATTTAATCAGTATTATGAAGTATATTTTGCATTGCTGTATGATCCTCTTATTTTGTTTTATTATTATGACTGAGCCTTAAGCGGCCTAACCTCGTTAATTCAGACATAGCATTTGCCATATTAACTTTGCTTCGACCAGGTATTACAGAACAAGCCTAATTTTTTGTATTAATAATTTATCAGAAAGATTATATTGTATAGTAGTAGCAACATTAAGCAGGTAGAATTAACGAGTTTTGACTGTATGGCTTCCAATTTTATTTTTGAAGGACCCTGACATACCAAAATGCAGTGTGTATTACAAGCAGTGAGTCAATTTGAGATTCCAAAGTTTGATTAAATCGCTTAGTAAGCATAATACTTATTTATTGGTTTAAATTTTCTCCACAAACACTGGTAAAGACTCAGTTCCTGTCCACTGCTTGTAATCATCATGGATAGTGGCTGGTAAAGGGTTGAATGCTTTTGTTTATGTTTCTTTCCTTTTTTGACAGATGAAAATCCAGCAGATTAACAGGGACTTGAATAGGGTGAACTCAGTATTCAAAGCAGGTAAATGTTTGATCAGCTACTTTCTACTGACTCCACATCTGATGCAAGGGAGAAGAAAAGTTGTGCAGCTGTTTGTTTTCAGCTGATAACCTAGAGGATTGCATTACTAACCAGTTTGAGACACAGCACGAATCACTTACAGTAATGCTAAGCCTAACACGGTTTATATTTTGAACATGTAACTATTTTTGTTTTAACGTGAACATGTGTTGGATGTCACCTGTAAATAATGTCAGATGTCTCTTTACTGAAAGCCTTTATAGACTTTCCATAATGGAGGAGGAGGTATTTACTTCTTCATAAGACAACAAAGGAAGAAAACTTCATCTTATGTCCTAGAACTAAACTGTTAGAGTTAAATGTCATAATACTCCTTGACTTCTCTCTTAATTCCCTTGATGCATGCACATCAGACAAAAATACATTTTATCACTTTTGATTTTTAGATAGTGGATTTTTTTTTAACCTCTTTCACCTTTTCCTTGAGAAACGTATTCTTAGATAATGCATCTATACTCTGACTTTTACAATAGTTTATTCAGTTTTGGGTCAAACTCCTTCCACTGTACTCTATGTGATCTTAACAGTGAATCTGTGTTTAATTTTTCCACCTAGAATTTTCTCTTGTATAAAGAAGGGATGTATGGCAATATCTATCATTTTGATTTATCACTAGAAAGTCCTAAAATGTGGAATGTGACTGCATTTTCTCACTCTAGACTTACTTAAATCTGTTTAATGTTCTTGGTACTTCCTTCTTGTTCACTTCCTACACCCTTGTGCACATAATCTTTCATTCATTTCTTTCTCTACTTCAGCTCTCCTCACTCTCTGTTCTTTAGCATGGTCTTGTTCTTCCTTCTCTTTTCTTAATCTTGTTTTTCTTCTTTGCTTCCTCCATGTCCTCTATCTTATTTTCTTTTTTTTCTCTCTTTTCCTCCTCCTTCTTCTTCTTCTTCTTCTTCTTCTTCTTTTCCTCCTCCTCCTTTCCATTCTCCTCCTCCTCCTCCTTTCCATTCTTCTCCTCCTCCTTTCCATTCTCCTCCTCCTCCTCCTTTCATTCTCCTCTCTCCTCCTTTCCATTCTCCTCCTCCTCCTCCTTTCCATTCTCCTCCTCCTCCTCCTTTCCATCCTCCTCCTCCTCCTTTCCATTCTCCTCCTCCTCCTCCTTAGCATCCTCCTCCTCCTCTCCTTAGCATCTCCTCCTCCTCTTTCTTTCCACCCTCCTCCTCTCCTCCTTTCCATCCTCAACATCCTTCACTCTTCCTGTTCTTTGTCCCTTTTTTATTTTATATTTAGTCACACAAACTGATTCAGCCTTTCTTTTCCCACGTGCATCTATCTACATACTGTTATCACATTTTTCCAGTCAGGTAATCAGTCTTTCCAATAGTCTTTTTTTGTCACAAGATCTATTTCCATTAGGATCTTATTCATAAAACTAAAATAGCTTGATTAAAGAAATGACTAATTTTTTGGCCATTTTAATTGGCATTTGGTAAAGTGTCCCGAATTAAAGTTTAAAGTCTTATTATTGACCTCTTGCTATACAGAATGGAAACCAGTTGCATAAGAATGACATGTATATTCTCTCCAGCTTATATATTGAATGAAACCTCAGTGCACCTCATAATTTCATTATGTGACCTTTTTGGGTGTATTTGGGACATAAGTTTTAGCTTTTGTTGTGTTATATAAGCCAGAGCATTACCTCAAGTACTCTTTGCTAGAGCTTTACTTTTTAGATCATTAGTTTGTTTCCTTTTCTTTCTTTTCTTTGCTTTCTGAATATTCCCACTGACTTTTATTAATACTCTACTTTCTCTCAACAGAAAGAACCAGCTGACATGCGGCTCCCCCACCATCCCCACCACTGTGATTCCTGCGTAGAGCTACCATACACCAAAATTGATTCCCAGACAGACTCAAGAGGGAGAGTAGCTGAACGCCTCAAGGATAGACCATGCATTCCAAAACAGTGCTCGATAACGTTAAGAAAAAGCCAGATAACGAATGATATAAATGGCATTGCTTTTACACACAGAACTCCTGAATTGGCCAGAAAACCATGTGAATCTAGTTTAAGAAGAGGCATTTCAGAATACATGCCTCGCAGACTACTCGGACGGCAGCAAAGTCAATGCAGTCATGTCTGTGGCAATAGTTACCCTCTCTATGTAACAAAAGATGAATATTTTTTCTAAAAAGGAATCCCAAAAGACTTGTCCCTTTTAAGTTAAATTCACTTCTATGCTGCAGGAGTAGGAGGCTCTCCAGGATGTCCTTGTATATGTAAATAGTTAGTTTAATTGATTGAAGAGATTATTGATGCATCCGTTTTAGCAAAGATCCTTTTTTTGTTGTGGCATAACAAGTGGTAAGGTAATTATGTTTTGAAATACTGCTGTGTGCACCTCCTAGGTAAGCTTTTTTTTATTTCAAGTAATTTGCTTTTAGTTCATCAGGTGCTCCATTTTCCTGCAATCTGTGGAAAGTTATTAAATTTAGCAAGCAGATGCCTAAATATCCTGCCTGTTATCTGCAATGTGATACTGATCAAAAGAGCCAAAAGGAGGCAGCAAAGCACATAGCAGCAGCACAGTGTTAGTGATGGACCTCACAGTTAGTCACATCATTGTGATCAAATCAAGTGCCCAAGAATCCCATATTGTGACACGGAAAAGCTGATAAATGCACACCGCCTTTATTTATGACAGTCATCAGTGTTATGGTAGTGAAATGCATTGCAGGCTTTATGATCTTGTGTATATGTGTATACCATGGGAATCTTCATGGAAATATCAGCCAAACATTGATGCGTCTTTCTTAAGCATAATTTTATTGATAGTGAAAAGTTTCTTTGCTGTAACTGAGATGTTAAAAGTAGATATTTCAATTTGATTGTACACTGTACTTGTCATTCACAGTGAATACTCTCGAGTTGTGCTTAAGAAATGGTGTCGCAGCCTCATCTTCTAGTTTCCTCTGTCAAATTCCAATTTTGTACATAATGGTAACTCTTCAGTTCCTTGATATCTCTTGTTACATATTGATATAGCTGTACCATAGCTTCTTGGTAGATTGGACAATATCACCTATGTAATTTATGAAAGGTTCCTCCTGAAGCAGAGGTTAATGGTACAATGTTTCAGATGCCCATGTTTTAAGTGGCAGATAAGTAGGCTAATAATCAAGTCTTGAAATTAAATTATGGATTGTGTAAGATCTTTTTTTTTATGATTGGTTAAATAGATTCAGTATTGTACTGTAATCACCACTTCAGAACCAAACACAAAAAACCTGTGTAACTAGCCTAAGACTCGGTGATAAAAGAAAAGATTATCAACAGCTGGGCATATTGTCCCAGATGACTTTAGTTACCGGGAGTGTCAGGTTTTATCTTGCAATGACGTCACATCTCCGAATATTCAATCAGCAAAATATTTTCTCCACGTGCTTGGATAAACCTTTTGTTTCATTTGATATTTTTTATTTTTTCTATATAGGTTTACTATAGACAGTTATCAAATTAGTCTCAAGATTAGAAGAAGGAAAACAAATCTGACACTGAGAATCTTTTCCATTATTGACTTTGAAAGATATTGGCAATGGACAGGATACAATGTATTCCTTTCCTTTTAAAGAACAAGTGATGAATATTTACATTTTATATTGCATATTTTGTTTATTAGATTGGTCTCTATTCTCATTAAAAATTAGCAGAAACACATGTGTCTTCTTATTATCCAGAAACCTTAATTTTTATCCTTTCTCCATGCAGTGTGAGGAATTCGTAGGGATATCACATTGGAATTGACATAATGCTACAGCAGGATGATGGGTTGTGTAGGAGCTCGATGGATATCAAAATGAAGTCGGGGAAAATGCCTGTGAAAATCACTTGATAAAAGTAGACAGTTTTGAGTAACCATATAATTTTCATCAAATTTTATTTGTGTCAGTACAACTACCTCTAATTTAATTAATAACAAGTATCCAAAGGGGTAAGAGGATTTAAAATGATATCTTTTTATGGGCATTATCTCTACAGTTATATATGTATGCATGCACCAACTAGAAAAATTTGGTCGTATTAACAACTATTCACTCATTAAAAAATTGAGTAAAGATTGCTGCTATTCAAACTGAAATTGCATTATTTTTTAACTGAAAATTATAAAAGCATTTTAAAGGACTCAATATACATGTGTGAAAAGTAAAAACTAGGTTGTATTTCAGGTGTTCAGCATACAGTCATTAAGTATATTTATATTTGATTTGTAACAAATATTAGGTATTTTCTTGGATGAAAGATTGCATTTCAGTAGCTAGCAAAAGGGTTTAATAGTGTACTTTGTCGCATCATTAAAATGTACAGAAAAAAAAAAATCTATGAAAGCATTTTTTCATAAAGTTCATAAAGTAAGTCTAGTTTCTTTAGGCACTTAATATCATAAGCATTTACAAATAATGCAAATGATTTATCGGAATTAGCAGACAAATATCTAATTAAAATACATGGACTTCACCAGTATTATGCAGAAAAAACATGAATTCTTAAATAGCCCAAATGTAATTTGTGTTGTAATAAGATTTGTATGCTAAAAAAGTTAAAGTTTGCACAATTTGCTTATCAGTAAAGAAATAATAATGATATGAATGGATAGGATAAATTTATTCTTGACTTAAAAAGGAAAATCTGCAACTTCAGATGATGATGGAAAGCAGTGAAATAAAGGTAATTATATTTACCAAAGATGTACCACTATATTATACAGTTAAAGAAAGCCTTAAAAAGCATGCATGGTATAGGAAAATCACTTCAACTATTGAAAAGTCATTGGAGAAAATAATACAGAAACATCTTTTATGAGCTTCAAAAGTATTAAACATTTAAAACAGGGTAATGATGAGGCTTGCACTGTGGTTCAGCCCTAGAGTATTTGAAGTATGTGGTTAGTTTGATGTGAAAGAGGTCACCAAAAACGTCGGTGCCACAGCTATCGTCATCAACTTTAATGGAACTTGCACAGTTCTGATTATTGTGACATCATATCTGTTTATTAATGAGGTTAATTAAGTAATTGATCAATCAACGAATCAGTAACATCAATGTGAGTAAGCAATTGATATTGTACATGAAATGTCAAATGAACAGTTTCCATGTTTCCTCAGATCCAAAAGGTTCTTGCGTTTAAAGTATCAGTAGATTATTGCAAGTAGTAATTCTTTACCATGATATGGAAACCATTAAGCAATGTAATCGAAGAATGCAATGGACGTCTTTGATGTTATATGCAGGTAACAAATAGAAAAAAATGGAAACCAAACAAATAAACAAGTTATTAATCAGTCCATTCATCTGTTGTAATCTCGAGCAGTGTTGTCCGAACATTTTTGCCAATGGTACCTTTATTACCTCTTTGTACTGTTACGTACCCCCACCCCACCCCGTCCACCATGGCTAAACAAACTGTTTTATTTAGGATAATGCAAATAATATACTAATTATGAAAAGACTGCATTGCAGGAGTGTTGGTCAATAAATTCGAATTTAATACACAAATAAAAAGATGATTCATAGAACATGTGGTGTTTTTGTTTGTGTGTGTGTGTGTGGTGTGTGTGTTGTGTGTGTGTGTGTGTGTGTGTGTGTGTGTGTGTGTGTTGTGTGTGTGTGTTGTGTGTGTGTGTGGTGTGTGTGCTGTGTGCGTGTGCATGTGTGCGTGTGCATGTGTGCGTGTGCATGTGTGCGTGTGCATGTGTGCGTGTGCATGTGTGCGTGTGTGCGTGTGTGTGTGTGTGCGTGTGTGTTTGTGTATTCCTTGTTTGTTCACGTACCCTTATGATCTGTGTTGCGTACCTCTAGGGGTATGCGGACCCAGTTTAGACAACACTGATCTAGAGAACAGAAAATCCTGTTGACTTGCAGATGGTCGAGGAAGTTCCTTGGAGTGTTCTAGAATTAAGGACAGGTTTTTAGTTCACAAAAAAAAAAAAAAAAAAAAAAAATGCTAATAATATTTTTGACACCCACATGCCTACCAAACAACCCCCTCCCCCACCACCACACACACACACACAAGTAATCAGAAGCACATACATTACTTGCATGAGAATTCAGATTGAAAAATTCCTAATTTCACTGCACCGCACATTATTTAACACTAGAATGTACAGCTACCCAGAAAGATATCGTTAAAGCTTTGGGTATGTGTGGCTTTTTTAAATATTACAAGGTATATTCCATTTCTTACATCAATAAAATCAGCATAAATTCAGTAATGACAATTCGGGACTTGAATCAGAACGAGACAAATTCGAAACCCAAAATACCAACCCTTCCTTAACATAAGGTTTTGTTCGTTATTGAATGCTTTGATACCGATAGTTTTCTGTGTAGCTGTACATATATAGTGTGCATATATATAAATACACATACACACACTACCAAGCCTGAGAAAGCTGAACTCCAAGCCCTCTTCACAGGTGACTGCAGTTTGCTTAGTGGGTGGCCAGATCGTCTCAGATACCGTTGCAGTGCGGGAGCGTTGAGCTTAGTATTTTGAGCAGTTGCGCCAGGTTGGTCCACCAACAGTTACTTGGATGCGGGCAGTGCCGAGATTCCGTGTCGGACCCAACCATCAGTGAAGATCCTCCTCCCTAACTGAAGTAAGAAGGGCGGTCTCCAAGCTGAAGAGTAGTACAGCAGCGGGTGATTCCGGCATCCCAGCTAAACCGTTAAGGCTGGTGGTGAACCAATGGCGCTGGTTGCATGCTGTCCTTGCTGCCATCGAGTTATCCGGTACCGTTCCCCTTACCTGTTGAGGGGTGTGATCATCCTCTCTAGAAGGGGAAGGGGGGTCGATGGGACTGTAGCAATCACTGCTCAGTATACCAGGCAAGGATCTCGCCCACTTCCTTCTGAGACGTATCAGAGACCACCTACTGAGGCATCAGAGGCCGGAGCAATCTGGATTGACTCCTGGTAAGTGAGTTCGAGCGTGGGTTGCTTGCAGCCTTCATCGACCTCAAGAAGGCGTTCGATACGGTGCAACGGGAATCACTCTGGGAGATCCTGAGATTGAGAGGAATTCCAACAAGGATTATTGAATAACAAGCCTGTATACTGGTACTGAAAGTCCTGTAAAGTGCGGAGGGGGTGGGGGCGTCGAGCTTCTTTCCTGTTAGTTCTGGAGTGAGGCAAGGCTATGTCCTTGTCCAACACTTTTAAACAATGTCCTTGTCCAACACTTTTAAACACGCACGGACTGGATACTGGGGTGAGCTACTGTTCAAAGCCATTGTGGAGCAACTCTGGGTAACATCAATGTTACTGACCTAGACTTTGCTGATGATGTTGCTATTCCATCTGAGTCTTTGGAAACCTTGGTGGTGGCTCTGGAAGCATTTAGCAATGAAGCGAACCAATGGGTCTAGAGGTTTCCTGGACCATGACCACGATCCAGGACTTTGGGGCTTACTAGGAAAACTTGTTCGGTCAGTATGTGCTTGCGGCGAGGACACTGAAGTCAGAGAGAGCTTTACATACCTTGGTAGTATAGTTTATCATTCAGGTCAGTCCGAACAGGAAGTCAGATGATGGATTGACCTGGCAGCAAGGGTCATGAACTCTCTCGACAAGAGTATTTGGAGAAACTGGTACCTGTGCAGGACCAAGCTACGCGTTTTGAAGGCTCTGGACATTATCCTGAGCCTTGGAGTCTCGTCTTGATGCCTTTTGTCATAGGTCCTTGCGCCGGATCATGGGTACTGTTGGCGGGACCACGTGTTCAACTAACGGTTGCACCGTGAGACTGGTACAGGACCTGTTACTTACACAGTCTGTGATCGCCAACCAGGTTGTCTCTGTACGAGACAGCCCTGGGTGGAGGAGGCCTGTGGGACGACCTAGGAAGTCGTGGCTTGGGCAGATCGATCAAACCTATCGTGGGGAGCTCGAGATGGACCGAGTCCCTGCCTGGCGGTTTGTTATGAGGGACCCTCGTAAGTGGAAACGAAGGGTGGATACGGCTATGCGCCCCCGTCGGCGTTAGCTCCCCGATGATGATGGTGATGATGATGTTTGTATATATATATATATATATATATATATATATATATATATATATTTATATTTATCAAACACATAACACACACCCACACACATACATACATATATATATAAATATATATATAATATATTATATATATATATATATATATATATATATATATATATACATTATATATGTGTGTGTGTGCACATTACATATATATATATATATATATATATATATATATATATATATATATATATATATATATGCATTTATATATATATATATATACATTTATATATATTTACATCTATATATATATATACATCTATATATATACATTTATATATATATACACACATTTATATATATATATATATATATAATATATATATATATATACACACAAACACACATACATACACACACGCACACACACACATACACACACACACACACAACCACACACAACACACACACACACACACATATATATATATATATATATATATATATATATATACATATATATACAGTGATGGGCATCGATACACAGCATTGTCTACCGATACCAGTACATGTATCGCCGATACATCTTCGCCGATACTTTCACCAAAAATATCCAATATAATATATAAATATTTCATTTGTATGTTTCGATGCATTGC